GAGGAGGAGGAGGAGGAGGAACAGGAGGATCAGGACAAGGAGGAGGACGAGGAGGAGGAGGAGGAGGAGGAGGAGGAGGAGGAGCACAAGGAGCAGGCGCGCGGGGCCCGGCCGCGCGAGCTGCCCGAGGAGGACTGGCAGGCGCGCCTCGTGCGCGTGGAGCGGGAGCAGCGCTCCGCGGCACTGAGCCTGCGCCTGGTCGCCAGCGCCTCGGAGGAGGCGGAGAAGCGGCAGAGCAGGCGCCTGCAGGCCCTCGAGGAGCTCCGCTTGGGGTCTGCTTCGGGGCTCTCTGGGGCCCCTTGATTTCTGCTGGGTGCGTGTGGTGGCGCCTTGCCGCGCCTGCTGCCAGGGGTGCAGCACTCACTGGCAAGCCGCCCCGGCTGCTCCGCGGCGGCTTCTGCCATGTGAGCGCTCTCCCTTTCTCCCCCTGGCCCGCGTCCGCCTCTCCCCCCCTCTTTCTCCCGCTCTTGCCGCCAGACGATCAGCGCCTGCGGTCTCCCGGCCCGCACGAGCGCGCGTGCGGACTGTCTCTGCCGTTCTGCGACGTAAGAAAAGTGGTGGCCACCTCGGAGCCATCTCGAGGCGCTGGCTGCAAGGGTGGGGGAGGACCAAGATCTCCGATGTCCTGACTTTGTCCCCGCAGCTGTGGGCCATTCCTCGGGGACCGGCTTCTCGGTTATACGGTAAGGGTGACCTTTCGCTGGTGCGACCCCTGGTGCGGGCACAGTGCGGTCCTCAGACGGCTGAACGCGATGCGATGGCGGCGGCCTGCGCGCTCCAGTTCGGCCTCCCCGCGGCCCCCGAAAGTCTCGCACGAAAGTTCACTGCTGCCTGGGGGCAATCTTACGAGCAGCCGAGAGGCACCGGTGCCGTTGCTCCTCCCGCTCGGACCACCGCGGGAGTTGCCAAAGGGATGATGGGGGGTTACCAGTGGATACCGAGGTGGGGTGCGTAAGGGCGTAAGGCCAATTTAGCCCAGCGTACAAGCTGGTAACATGTGCCCCTGGTGGCTTGGGCGGGGTAAGGATCTGCAGTAGGTGGGCTCCGCCCACTTAGCGGACTTGTCGAACCCACCCAAGCCATTCAGGGTAGTTGTAGTCCACTTGTAAGTTACGCTCGGCCAGATATAGCCCGCCTTAGCACCCATTTAGAACCCTCTATCTCTTTGGGAACCGCCGCGGTGATCCCAGTGGGGGGTCGGTCCTCGTCGCCGCGGCCGGATTCGCCTCGAAGTCCTGGCCAGAGCGCGCCCCGGAGAAGAGTTTTGGGGAGTGGCGGTGTCGGAACCTTCCTTGACATCGCCCAGACGTTCGCATTCTTCCGGCGAGGCCAGTGTCAGCACATCCGGACCATCTTTGACCATTTTGGACCAGCTCGAGAAAATTGAGACCGACACGCGCGACAGCAAACGATTGCACGGGGAGAACGGACGCCGGAGTGCTGGCCAGCTCCTCGCCCCCGCCACTGAGGAGCAGCTGGGCCTGCGCGGGCGGGCCGCCAAGGGCGACTGCGCGCGCGCGGCGCTGCTGGCCCCGGACCCCCCGGCGCCCGAGCCCCCTGAAGGCGCGCCCCCCGAGCTGCCCGAGAGGGCGGCGCCGCACGCCGTGGAGGTTCGCGCGCGGGCCCTGGGGGACCGGCTCCAGGGCCTGTGGGCGCTGCTGGACGGCGAGGCTCCGGCGCGCCGCGGGCAGCGGGGCGCGGCGGAGGGGCGCACGGCGACGCCGCGCGCCGCGAGCGCGGAGGAGACCGCCGGGGCGAGGCTGGGCGAGGTGTGCGCGGAGGTTCGGCCTGCGAAGGGCGGCGTGGTAGGGGAACGAAGAATGACAGAAGCATACAAGCTCGGAGGCCCGCGCGGATGTCTCGGATCGGCGCTGGGACCCCCCTCCCTGGCGCGCGGAGCGCGCCAGGGGCGGCGCCGGAGGCGCCGCCGGGGGGCCCCAGCGCCGATCCGAGAAATCCGCGCGGACCTCCGAGTTTTTATGTTGATTGAATCGCTTCGCTCATTACGCCGGCCCATTTCGCATGACTGAGCCTCTTGGGGCCGCTGGGGGGCCTCTTCAGCGTCGCTTGGGGGCCTCCTGAGGGCCTCTTGGGGGCTTTTGGGGCCTCTCAGGGGCCTCTTGAGGCCTCCTGGGGGCTTCTTAAGGCCGAGGGCTCGAAGTTTTGTTTTGTGTTCCCCCTTTGAGGCATCGCTTGGGGCCCTCTTGGGCCCCTCTTGGGCCGTCTTGGATGCCTCTGGGGCCGTCTTGGAGCCCTCTTGGGCCATCTTGGGGCCTTCTTGGGAGCTTCTTGGGCCCTCTTGGGGCGATCTTGGGGGCCTCTTGGGCCGTCTTGGGGCGTCGGGAAGCCGAAAAGATGGACACGCCCAAAATCTGCCCAAAACCTAAGGAAAAGTAATGAATTTTGCCTCTTGGGGCCCTCTGGGGAGTGCTCTTGGAGGCCTCTTGGGGCGTCTGGGGGCCATCTTGGGCGTCTTGGAACGATCGTGTGGCATCTCGGAGCACTCTTGAACCATCTTGGAGGGCTCTTGGCGGCCTCGTGGCCCTTCTTGGGGCTCTCTGGAGGGCCACGGGGGCGGCGCCCAGGAGGAAAACCATCTCTGACCCGAGTCTGCCGGGGATCGCCCGGGGTACTTTTCGTCCGGGGACCCCCAGGGGCCGCCCCGCGCGCGCGAAGTAGAAGTATTATTTAGCAGTTACCGGAGATCTTAGCACGCCTCTGGCCCGTTGGGCCGGCGAATATGTAACTTTTTGTTCCCCTAGCTGAGCTGTGGCGTCATCGGGGGCCCCAGTCCTAGGGCGGCTGGAAAGTTTGCACCCCTTCGGTGGCGGGTGGGGTACAGGCAGATTCTTCAGCCGCCCCAGGACGGGGGCCCCCGATGGCGGAGCGGTTCATTTTCTACCGCCCTTCGTCCGCTGAGAGGTGCAGGCCGTGAGGGCGGAGGTGGCCAGCAACCATAGGGAGGTGCAGTCCGCACAGGAGCGCCTGGCGCGGGAGCTCGAGTCGCGTCTGGACGCTGCCGCCGCTCTGTGGGGCGCACCGTCGGCGAGGGCCGAGGGGGCCGAGGCCCTGGGCAGGCTGGAGAGCCAGGTGCAGCTCATGCTCTCGCAGGCCGAGGCTCACCGGAAAGCCGATGTGGCTGTCATTAGCGAGCTGCGGGAGCGCCTAGCGAAGTGCGAGTCGAGCAGGGCCGACTCCGATATCGGCGGGCTGCGGCAGAACGTGGGCAAATTGACAGCAGAGTGGGATTGCTACAGGGACCAGATGGATGCCGCGCGCCGAGCTCACGAGAGGGTCGGCAAGCCGTCCCAAGAGCGGGAGGCTGGCAGGGGAGACGCAGACGTTTGGGCCGAGCTGAAGGGAGTGCTCGAGGTGCAGCTCGCCACGAGCGACCGTCGGGCTAGGGAGGTCGACGCCGCGCTCGAGCAGCTGCGGACAAGGATGGACAGTCTTTGCGTGGGCGTTGAGGAGAGGAAGGCCGACAGCGAGAAAGTGTGCAGGTTGTGCGACAGGGTCAACCATCTGATCACGAGCAGTGAGGCTCAAATGGCGGAGACCAAGACGGTGCGGGACACGGTGGACCGGCTGACGGTCTGCTGCGACGCACGGGAGCAAGATAGCCAGGGAGCCCTAAGCTGCTTGCGAGGAAGGTTGGACGAGCTCGCCCAGCTCGGGGAAGCCCACAGAGCGAGCGTGACCGAGACCATCGGCAAACTGGGCGACAAATTAGATAGACTGCCCACCCCAGATAGGGTGGCTGAGTTTGACAAGCTGGCCGAGCAGATCGCTACGAGCAGTCGGCGAGCAGAGGAGGTCGACGCCGCGCTCGAGCAGCTGCGGACAAGGATGGACAGTCTCTGCGTGGGCGTTGAGGAGAGGAAGGCCGACAGCGAGAAAGTGTGCAGGTTGTGCGACAGGGTCAACCATCTGATCACGAGCAGTGAGGCTCAAATGGCGGAGACCAAGACGGTGCGGGACACGGTGGACCGGCTGACGGTCTGCTGCGACGCACGGGAGCAAGATAGCCAGGGAGCCCTAAGCTGCTTGCGAGGAAGGTTGGACGAGCTCGCCCAGCTCGGGGAAGCCCACAGAGCGAGCGTGACCGAGACCATCGGCAAGCTGGGCGACAAATTAGACGGGTGCGCGCCAGGAAACATCCGTATCCACAGCTTCTGCAGTCCCGCCCCGTGCCGCTGGGGAGCGGTGGATATGGGCATCCCCTGCCAGCAGGGGGCGAGCAGATTCCTATATCCACCGCTCCTCAGGGTGCCGGGGCGCGACCCCGAGTCGGTGGACACGAACAGATCCTGGCGCCGCGAGAGGCTGCCCGCGCCCGACGAGCTGGCCAATCTCCGGGCCTCCGTGGAGGAGCACGCGGCGGCCGTGGCGGAGCTCGGCCTCTCCGTGCGCTCCGTGGGCACCCGCAGTGCCGAGGGCCTCGCCGAGCTCCGCCTGGAGGTGGAGGCGGGACAGGGCCCGGCGGACGACGAGTGGGCCAGCGGCCAGGACAAGATCGACTCGACGTAAGAGTGACCTTTCGCCGGAGTGACCTCTGGTGCGGGCACAGATGGGCCCCCGGATGGCTGAACGCGCAGCGACAGCAGCGGCTAGCGCGCCTGGAGTTGGCCTCCCCCCCAAAGCCGCGCGCCAGAGGTCACTCTTACCCAGGGTCACTCTCACGTGTTGCCGACAGGAGGGCGCCATCTGCACGGTCGGGACCTTTGGGCTCAGCGTGCCGCTCTGCCGGTCCCGGCCCACCACGCTCCGGCGCGGCGCGCCATCGGCGTCCCCATGCCGACGCGTCGGCGCCCAGAGCCGTTCCCAGCCGCTCGCCCCGCGGAGCGGAGCGACACGCTGTCCGCTTGCCTGGCACAGAGCGTGTCGCCGGGGCCGCCGCCGCGGCACGCTGAGCGAAAGGTCTTGACCGCACACGCGGCAGGGATCCTGGCCGGGCCCATACTGAGGCGAGGACCGGTGCGTGCGCCCTCTACTCTTGACGGCACACAGGCACCGATCCTGGCCCGAGGATGGGCCTGGCCAGCATCGGTTTGCGTGTCCTACCGTTGAAGGTAAAAACTTTGCACCAAGAGTTGGGGGACCACTTCGAATACCCCCCCGATCGGGGGGGGAGGGGGGGAATTCGGTGCTTTGTCGTCGGAGCGTTGATCATGCACAGTTTTTTCCTTCAACCGTAGTCGGCGTCCGCCGGCAGGACTTGGCGGCGGAGGTGCGGGAGCTCCAGGGGCGATACGCCCTGCTCCAGGAGTGGGGGAAGCTCCTCTCTTTCAGCAGCAGCGCCCTCGTGGCGGCTCCAGCTCGAAGTACGTCCCTCGCCCGAGTCCCCGCAGCGCGGCCGATCTTCGGCCGCTGCCCGAGCCTCTCCTCGCGCTCCGGGGCGCGTGCTGACCAGGCCTCTGGGGCCTCTGGGGGCGAATCCAGCCGTGGCGACGAGGCCCCCCCGCCCCCCCCGGAGGCCGCCCAGGGGGCGACAGAGCCGGCAGGGCATCGGCATCGGCCTCGGCAATCGCCTTTTGTTCCCTGGAGGAGGCGGTGGAGGAGCGCCTCTCCGTGGCCGTCTGGCGGATCGACCGGCAGCTCCCGGAGGCCCTCGAGAGGGTCGAGTGGCTGGCGGGCGAGAACGCGGAGCGGCACGCGCGGCTGCAGGAGCACGACGTGCGCCTGGGCATGGCGCTGACGCGCCTCGCCGCGCACGAGCAGAAGGTGCAGGCCTTCTCCGACAGGCTGGATTCGGATGCAACTCCTGGGAGGGTAAATTCAGAATCGGCGCTGATACATCCCTGGTCGACAATTGGCCTGATCTGGCTTCGTCCCGCTCCATGCGCTTGAACAGCCCATTCTGAATCCGGCCTGCTCCTGCCTAGTTCATCTGGCTCAGCCCTGGCTTTAGATCCGGCTGGACCCTGATCCTTAGGACGACAGACCTCCCGGGTGCTGCCTCCCGTCAGGCTAGAGCTGCTCCCCAGCCTCGCCCAGCTCCGAGGCATGTGGCAGGACGAGCTGCGGCGCCGCCTGGAGGAGGCGGACGTGCGCGGCCTCGGCCAGACCGTGGCCTCGCAGGCGGGGGCCATCGAGGAGCTCACGGACGCGGTCCAGGCGCTCTGCGACCGGCTGGCGCTGCGCGGGGACCTGCCCCCGGCCGCCCAGCAGCCGCTCTGAGGGGCCCGCCAGGGCGCGCGGGCGGGGGATGGTTACGGTCAGGAATTTTGGCTTTCGGGGGCGGAAAAGAGGGGAGTTATGACTAGGGGGTGTGGATATCATGGCGTGGGCCATGATATTTCCCAGATTTCATGGCGCCTCTTCTTATTTTATTCTGACCCTGGCCCCCCCGCTGGGCCGCGCACATGCCGCCAGTCATGATTTGCACCCCCCCCTCTTGGACACCCCCCTCTTGGCCGCTCCCGAGCTCAGCGTGTTGCGCCGCCGGTCCTGGCCCATGGTTTTCGGCGCGACACGCTACCCACGTCCCCATTTCCGAACGTCAGCGCCCAGAGTGCTTCCCAGCCTCCCGCCCGGAGGAGCCGAGCGACACGCTGTCCGCTTGCAGGGCGCAGCGCGTCACTGGGCCGCCGCCGCGACACGCGGAGCAACTGTTCCCGACCGTAGGTGCTCGCCTTGGGGACCTTGCTGGGGCCCACCCGACGGATCCGTTCGACCCCAGCTCGACTCGACTTCGACTCAACGCCGACTCAAGTTCGGCTCGGATGCTCAAGTCGACGGACGTTCGACGTAGCATCGATGCTACGTCGAACGTCCGAGACTACGTGGTGGGAGCGCCGTGAAAATGGCCTCGGACGCTGCGGGAACTTGATCCGAACTCGTCCATCTTATTTTTTGTTTGGATTCCTTGAAACGGGGGCGGTGTATAAATCTGGGTCTCCCAGCATCGACGCGTGAGTGGAGCGAGTGACTCCAGGAGCGTCCCCAGAACGAGCACCCGAGGATGGGGCCCGCGGGCCTGGGGAGCCGTGCGGTCCATCAGCGGCCGGGCTGGGGAAGCGTGCGCGCAGCATCTCGGGCCGCCCTGTTCACCTCCCGCTCCTCTTCCTCCTCCTCCTCCTCCTCCTCCTCCTCACGTTCCTCCTCTTCCTCCTCTTCCTCTTTCTTTTTGATGTTGCGCTAACTCAAGGACAGAGCCTGTAGCGTTAGTTGTGAAAGAAATAGCGGCAGGCATGTGCCCTGCAACGGTGCGGAATAAAGGAAAGCGCCTCTCGGCTGTAGAATAACGGAAAAGTAGAGCATCCAGAGTATGCTGCAGGGCCAGGTAATGCAGGGAACGTCCCCAACCACCACCGCCTCCCATATCCAACCTCGCATTTTGCCCTCCCCATACCAAGGCTGGCCAAGTCGGTCTGGCTGGCCTAGGTCAGCAAGGAGTTTTCTGATGTGTAGAGTGGCTGGCTTGGACGGTACTGGCTGGCCAAATAGCTTAACTAATAGCTTATAATGGCAATATGAAGGCTTAGACTGGCAATGTGAAACTCATCTTGTCAGGCGAGCTTGTTTAAATATTTCGGGTATCAATGTGCTACTTCGAAGCTCGGTGACTGTCAGAGCATGCCTGTCGCGGGGCCAGCTCCCTGGCGCCCAGGGGGGGCCGATATAGTTGCTCCCCTCCCACCCTAATAGTATCTCCATAACCTCGAAAACCGACCCTCCCCAGCGTCAGGCTGGCCATATAGTCTGGCTGGCCTCAGTGCCAGACAGCAGTACTGTAATCTTATCTTTTCTGATCAAGATGCTGCTCAACAACTCGGTGAAGCATAGCTCTGTCGGTCAACACGCTCTCAGCGGTCGACTCTCACCACCTCCTCCTCCTCCTCCTCCTCCTTCTCCTCCTCCTCCTCCTCGTCCACCTCCTCGTCCACCTCCTCCTCCGTAGCATCAATCCTTTAATCATAATATATTCTTTGCGATTGCCCTCAAGAAGGTTTAAAAAGTATCGGCGACCCGCTGTCGCACTCAGAGTGCAATGCGGGACAAGTTAGCTATGCGCAGCTGCTGGGCTGTCCTCCGGATCCCCGACCACCAAGCCATCCTCCAACTCCATACCTCGCCCCTCGGGTACCACGACTGGTGGCAGAAGGAAACGGCCTCCCATACAGCGCTGGAGTCGGCGGCGCTGCTGACAGAGTCAATGGTGCTGCTGGAATCGGTGCTTCTGATGGACTCCGTGGTGCTGCTGGAATCGGTCGTGCTGGAGTCGGCGGCGCTGATGCCGGAGTTGGCGGTGCTGCTGGAGTCGGTGGTGCTGCTAGGGTCGGTGGTGCTGCTGGAGGCTGTAGCGCAGGAGTCCGTAGCGCTGATGCCAGAGTCCTTGGCGTTGGTTTCGGTAGTGCTGCTGGGGTCGGTGGTGCTGATGGAGACTGTGTTGCAGCTGGAATCGGTGGCGCTGCTGCTAAAGTCGGCGGCGCTGCTGTTGTTGGGGTCGGTAGCGCTTTTGCCTGCGTCGGTGGTGCTGCCTGAGTCTGTGATGCTGCTGGGCTCGGTGGTGTTGCTACGTAAAGCCAGCGGTGCTGCTGGAGTCGGTGGTGCTGCTGGGGCCAGTGGTGCTGCTGGGGTCGGTGGCGATTCTGCCGGAGTCGATGATGCTGCTTGAGTCTGTTGTGCGTTCATCGAATTTGCTGGGACCAGTGTCGCTGCTGAAGTCGGTGGTGCTACCAGAGTCTGCGGTGCTACCTGTGCAAGTCGCTGTTGTGGCTGTCGTGGTTGTCGTGGTAGCCGACGTGGCGTGCTTCCTCGTGCAAGGCGCTGTCGTTGCTGTCGTGATTATCGTGGTAGCCGCCGTGGTAAGCGTCCTCGAAAAAATCGTTGTTGCGGTAGTCGTGGTTGCCGTGGTCGCCACCGTGGTGTGCTTGCTCGTGAGAGTCGTTGCCGTTGCTGTCGTGGTGGCGGCCGCGGTGTGCTTGCTTGTAAGAAGTGCTGTCATGGCTGTCGTGGCCGTCGTGGTAGCCTCCGTGGCGTGTGTCTTCGTGAAAGTGGCAGTGTCGGTGGTCGTGGTTGCCGTGGTGTCGCCGTGGTGTGTTTGCTGGTGAGAGTCTTTGCAGTAGCTGTCTTGCATGCCGTGGTGGCCTCCGTGGCGTGACTGCTCGTAAGGGCGCCGTCGTTACAGTCGAGGTGGCCGCCGTGATGTGCTTGCTCGTGAGAGGTGTGACTGTCGCGGTGGTCGCCTTGAAATGCTTGCTCGTTAGAGCTGCTGTCGTGACTGTCGTGGATGTCGTGGTAGCCGCTCTGGTGTGCTTCCTCGTAGAAGTCGCGGTAGTGGTAGTCTTGGTTGACGTGGTGGCCGCCGTGGTGCGCTTGCTCGTGAGAGTCGTTGCCGTTTCTGTTATTGTTGTCGTGGTGGCCGCCGTCTTGTGCTTTCTTGTATGAGGCGCTGTCGTGGCTGTTGTGGTAGCCACTGTGGCGTGCGTCCTCGTGAAAGTCGCTGTGGTGGTAGTCGTGGTTGCCGCGGTGGCTGCCGTGATATGCTTGCCCATGGGACTCGCGGTGGCTGTCGTGGATGTCGTGGCGTGATTGCTCGTAAGAGATGCTGCTGTGAATGACGTGGTGGCCGCCGTGATGTGCTTGCTCGTGACGGGTGCCATTGTGGCTGTCGTGGTGGTTGCCTTGCAATGCTTGCTCGTGAGAGTCATTGTCGTGGCAGTCGTCGCTGTCGTGGTGGCTGCCGTGGTGTGCCTGCTCGTAGAAAAGGTCGCTGTGGCTGTTGTGGCTGTTGTGGTGGCCGCCGTGGCGGGCTTGCTTGTAAGAGGTACTGTCGTGACTGTCGTGGCTGTCGTGGTGACCGCCGTGGAGTGCGTCCCCGTGAGTGCCGTTTTATCGGTAGTGGTTGCCGTGGTGGCCGCCGTGGTGCGCTTGCTCGTGAGAGTCGCTGCGGTGGCTGTGGTGGTGGCTTCCGTGGCGTGATTGCTCGTACGAGGTGCTGTCATGTCTGTCTCGGTGGCAGCCGTGTGCTTGCGCGTGGGAGGTGCTGACGTGGTTGTCGTGTTGGCCGCCGTTGTATGCTTGCTCGTGGGGGTTGCTGTCGTGGCTGTCGTGGCTGTCGTGGTAGCCGCCGTGGCGTACTTCCTCGTGAAGGTCTCAGTTGCGGTATTCGTTGTTGTCGTGGTGGCCGCCGTGGTGTGGTTGCCTTTAAGAATTTCTGTCGCGACTGTCGTGGTAGCCGCCGTGGCGTGCGTCCTCGTGACCGTCACCGTGGCGGTAGTCGTGGTTGCTGCGGTGGTGTGTTTGCACGTGAGAGTCTCTGCGCTGGCTGTCATGGAGGGCGTTGGAACCTTCGTAGCGTGCTTGCTCGTAAGAGCTCCTGTCGTGGCCGTCGTGGTGGCCACCGTGGTGCGCTTGTTCTTGAGGGGTACCGTCGTGACTGTCCTGGTGGCCGCCTTGAAGTTCTTGTTCGTGAGAGTCGCTGTCGTGGCTGTCGTGGCTGTCGTGGTAGCCGCCGTGGTGCACATCCACGTAAAAGTCGCGGTGGCGGTAGGCGTGAGAGTGGTGCGCTTGCGGGTGAGAGTCGTTGCTGTGGTTGTTGTGGCCGCCGTGGTGGCCGCCGTGGTGTGTTTGCTTGTGAGAGGTGCTGTCGTTTCTGTCGTGGTGGCCGCCGTGGTGTGCTTGCTCGTGGGAGGTGCTGTCGTGGTGGTCGCGCTAAAGTGCTTGCACGTGGGATTTGATGTCGTGGTTGACGCGGCTGTCGTAGTAGCGGCTGTGATGTGCGTCCTCGTGGGGGTCGTTGTTGTGGCTGTCGCTGTCGTAGCTCCCGTGGTCGCCGTGATGGCCGCCGTGGCGTGCATGCACGTAACATGTGCTGGCGTGGCTGTAGAGGTGGCCGCCTTGGTGCGCGTGTCGATTGTGGTTGTCGTAGTTGTCCTTGTGCTTGGTGGTTGTCATGGTGGTTGTCGTGGCGCTTGGTGGTTGCCGTAGCGGCTGTCGTGGTGCTTGGTGGCAGTCGTGGTGGTTGTCGTTGTGCCTGTCGTGGCGGCTGCCGAGGGGTGCTTGCTCGTGAGAGTAGTAGTATGCGGCCCGTGACGGAGGAGGTGCCACCTCCTGTGAATGGATGCATGGAGCAGCATGCCCTGGAGGGGGCGGTACAAGCCAAAGGGGCGGCAGGCTTTGTAAGATTGGCGGGAGTAGGAGTCAGCGGTCGGTGTGGCTGCTGGTCAGTAGTCGGTGGTCTGCTGGTTGATGTGCTGTAGTCGGCTGTCTGTTGGACGGTGGGTGTATAGCTGGGTTGTCTGCTGGTCGTCTGCTAGTTTGAGCTGCCGTGGTGGCTGTCGTGAAGGCTGCCGCGTTGCTGTAGTGGTGGCTGTCGAGGTGGCTGTCGTGGTAGCTGTCGTGGTTGCTGTCGTGGTGGCTGCCGTAGTGGTTGTCTCGGCAGCTGTAATTGTAACTGCAGTGGTAGCTATCGTAGTTGTTGTGGTGATTGTTGCGGAGGTTGTCGTGTAGCCGCCGAGGTGGCTGTTGTGGTGGCTGTCGTGGTGGCTGTCGTGGTGGCTGTCGTGTTGCTGCCGTGGTGGCTGGCGTGGTGGCTGTCGCGTTGCTGTAGTGGTGGCTGTCGTGGTGAGTGTCGTGGTAGCTGTCGTAGTAGTTGTCGTAGTGGCTGCCGTGGTGGTTGTCGCGTTAGCTGTGCTGGTAGCTGTAGTTGTAGCTGTTGTGGTGGCTGTTGTGTTACCTGCCGCAGTGGCTGTCGTGTTGCTGCCGTAGTGGTTGTCGTGGTGGCTGTCGTGTTGCTGCCGTGGTGGCAGACAAGGTGGCTGTCGCGTTGCTGTAGTAGTTGTCTTGGTGGCTAGTGTGGTAATTGTAATAGTAGTTGTGGTAGTGGGTGCCGTGGAGGTTCTCTCGGTAGCTGTCGTGGTAGCTTTCGTGGTGGCTGCCGTGGGGGTTGTCGTTATAGTTGTCGTGGTAGCTGTCGTGGTAGCTGTCGCGGTAGCTGTCGCGGTAGCTGTCGATGTGGTTGTCGTGGTGGGCTGCTGGTCGATTAGCATGCTGGTTCTGAGTACCAGTCAGGCGGTGGTCGGTGGGTCTGCTAGTCGGCGGGTCTGCTACTCGGTGGGTGAGCTGCTGCGTTTTGTGCTGCTTAGTCTGCTGGTCTGCTGGTCGGTGGGTGGCCAGCTGGTCTGATGGATGGTCTGCTGGACGGGCTGCTGACCGAGAAGTCTGATGGAAATAGATCACGAGTGCCATTCCAATCATTGCCACCATATTCTGACGAGAGCCGGGAGTCATGTTTAATATGTGCGTTTTCTCTTTTGCCTCATCTTTCTCCTCGTCCTCCTCCTCCTCGTCCTCGTCCTCCTCCTCCTCCTCCTCTTCCTCCTCCTCCCTCCTACTCCTACTCCCAAGAAGTTCCACCTCTTCCTTCTCATCCTAACTGCTGGCGAGCTTGTGAACGGAGGGCGCCACGGAGACGCCAAGTCGCACCGTTGCCCGCGGCGCATGCGAATGCGATCGCCCCGCAGACAGTGCCGAGACTTCGCGCAGGGTGGGAAAGCTCTCCTCCTCCAAGGCCTCCCTGTTCTCCCTCTTTCTCCCTTCTCGTCCTCCTCCTCCCCCTCCTCCTTTTCCTCCTCCTCCTTTTCCTCCTCCTCCTCCTCCTCCCCCTCCTCCTCCTCCTCCTCCTCCCCCTCCTCCTTTTCCTCCTCCTCCCGGAGGAGAGATGCTGTCCAGTCGGAGGAGAGCTATTTGTCATGAGGCGGGTCCAGCCGTGGCCCGCTTCGAGGCGGCTCCAGCACGTGGCGACGAGAGGCTCCCTGGAAGCCCAGTGCCAGGACGAGCCGCGCCACGGAGGGCCTCCGCCGTCTCGGGCAAGAGCTCGGCCGGTTCCCGCACCCCTCCGGGGGTCCGCCCGGGGTCCGCCCTGGCCCGCCGTTCGAGGCGGCTCCGGCCGCGGCGGCGAGGGGCCTCCCGGGGGCCCAGTTCGAGGGCGAGCCAGCGCCGCGGCGGGCCGCCGCTGCTTCGGCATGCGCTGCGGGCCTCCTCCTCCTCCTCCTCCTACACTGTCCTCCTCCTCCTCCTCCTCCCTCCCTCCCTCCTCCCTCCTCCTCCTCCTCCTCCTCCCCCTCCTCCCTCCTCCTCTCCTCCTACCCTCCTCCCCCTCCTCCCCTCCTCCCCTCCTCCTCCTCCTCCTCCTCCTCCTCCTCCTCCTCCTCCTCCTCCTCCTCCTTGGGCGGCGCCTTGCGAGGCTGTGCTCCTGCAGGCTCCGGCAGGTTTACGTGCGTGCGGGGGAGGGGGCGCGGCGAGGCCCGAGAGGAAAGCTGGACTTTGCGCAAGCCAGGGCTGACTTGCACGTCTCTTTTGGCCGAGCGCTGTTTGAAGAGGCTGCGGATGGGAGTGGGGGCCCAACCTCCATGCAAGTAAATTTGCTGGAGTCTAGAGTGAAGCGCCTTCGAAGGGGCCCAGCAGGGGCCCAGCAAGGGCCCAACAGAGCCCCCCTGGGGCCCCCGAGGTGCAAGAGAGGGGCACCTTTCTTCCCCCCGCCCTCCATGTTCCCCCTCTCCGATTCGCAACGCCCGACGAGCGAGAAGCAAGCAGACGGGGGGAGGGAGGGAAGGAGAAGGACATAGTGAGAGGCGAGCACAACGGCAAGCAGGGCAGAGGCAACGAGTGGCGCGTGGAGGCAAGCCACGGCTCGCAGGCAGGCATGCAGGCGTTGAGCAGCTGCAGAGCTCATGAGTTTGCGGACTTGCATACGTGGAGGATATCTGCTGTCATGTCAGGTGTCGTTTGGAATGGGGCCCCAGGTCTTCGCTTTTCCCGAATACGAGCAGTTTGCCAAGTACGGCGAGCCGCTCGGGGACATGAGCAACTTTGAGGCCAGCGGGCGGGCCTGAAGGGGGGCTCATCTGTTCTGCTTCTCTTCCTCTGTCTCGCCCTGCATCCACGAGCCTGCCCTGCCACGCTGCTCCGCCCGGCCCTGGCACTCCAGCGCGCGTGCCCTCCCGCCTTTGCCAGCTCCGGTGGCGGGGGTGATGCAGCGAGGTCGCAGGCAGGCGTGGCCCCAGCGCAGCCACGGCGGGGCGGATCATGCTCGCACGCGCGCTCGCGTCGAGGCTGGAACTATATATATGTATATATATACATGTATATATATATATATATGTATGTATAGATATCTTATATAGGACACACAGTTCTTCTTCTTCGTCGCTGTATCTTTCTCCTCCTCCTTTCTCCCCCAGCAGGTCTTGCACTTAGAGGTTCTTACTTGTCTTCTACGGAACTGGGCCTGCGGGCCGCTCTGGCCGCCATGTGGCCGCCGTTGCCGCCTCGTCGCTGCCCGTCGCTGCCCGTCGCCTGGGCCTGCGGGCCGTTCTGGCCGCCAGGTGGCCGCCGTCGCCGCCTCGTCGCCGCGCGCGTTGCGATGCTTTGCATTGCGTTGCGTTGCTTTGCGTTGCTTTGTTTTGCTTGGCATTGCTTGGCATTGCTTGGCATTGCTTCCAATTTGTTTGGCGTTGCTTTGCATTGCTTGTCATTGCTTGGCATAGCTTTTCGTTACTTTGCGTTGCTTTGCATTGTTTTGCGCTACGTTGAGTTGGTTCGCATCGCTTTCTCTGCGTTGCGTTGCATGCTTTACATTGTGTTTTTTTATGTGATTTAGAATTGCACCACGTAAATTTTACCACATACGTTGCACCACGCATGTTGTATCACTAGCGTTGCACCAAATCTATTGTACCACGTAGCTCACACCACATACACTGAGTCCATACGCCGCGCCACACTTTCTTGCACGGCATCGCACATTTTGCACCACGGTCATTGCACAGCATGAATTGCACCACATAACTTGCACCTCCTAGATTGTACCGCATAGGCTTGCACCACATCGATTGCACCACAGTGTATGCCAGAACACACTGTCTGGGGCCCACGCTGGCCAGCACTGTTGTTAGCCCTGCAGCTGGCAGGAGGGCCAAACGCATCCTCGCTTCGGAGGGGTAAGCGTCTGCTCTTCGTGCTGGGGCTCTCCGCCCTGGAATTGCTTGGGTTTTGGGCATCTCAAGGTGGGCGCAAGGGCGGCGGCCCCAGAGGAGGAGGAGGAGGAGGAGGAGGAGTAGAGGAGGAGTAGGGAGGAGGGGGAGAGGAGGAGGAGGAGGAGGAGGAGGAGGAGGAGGAGGAGGAGGAGGAGGAGGAGGGGAGGAGGAGGAGGAGGAAAGGGAGGAGGAGGAGGAGGAGGAGGAGGTGGGGGCGCCCGCGCATTTTCCCGGGACCGCGGGTGCGCCTGCAGACTGGACTCGTACCGTTCTGGCGCGCCCCTCACACGCGTCTTGCCTCATGGAGAGCTGCAGCCGCGGCCCAAGTGGGTGCGCCCGCACATCTAACTGGTTCCGTGCTGCTCGGGCGCAAATGTTATCCTTACAAGCGCCCTCATCACATTTCTCATTCTCCGCCTGAGTCCGTTGTGGTCCGAGACGACGCAGCTTACCAAGACGCCAAAGACAGATTCTTGTCTTGCCAAATTCACCGCTTTTCTTTGCTTTTACAAAGAGACCTACATTCGCAGCCATGCCGATCTCCAAGGAGATTCTGATGCATGGCGTCGCGGTGGCCCTGGTCACCGCCCACCTGCTCGGGGGATCCAGCCCATGGGTCTCCAAGTCCACCGCGGTCACGGTTGCCATCGTCCAGAGCGTCAACGCGCTCGGGGCCCTGGCGGCTCGCCCGTACCAGCAGCGCGTGGAGGCGCAGCGGCGGCGGAAGGCTCGCCCCGATGACGAGCTGGCGGCCAGCCTTGTCGCCACCGAGAGCTGGCTCACAGTCGCCGCCCGCTGCCGGCCCAGCGCGCGCGGAGTGGCCGCGCTCCAGTTCGCTGGCGGCGGCTGCGTGATCTTCGCCCTCGCCCGTGGCCTGAAGCTCAGCGGCGCGCTGACCAAGCCGCAGCACGCCGTGCTGCCAGCACTCGTCCTGGCGCTCGGGGCACGCCTGCTCCTGAGGGCCCTGGCAGGAGGTCGCAAGCCCGAACAGGAGAGCGCGGGCGAGCTCGAGCCAGAGCACGCCGACGACGAGGACGAGTGCTCCGACCCCGCCGAGGATCCGTACCGCCCGTCCTTCTGGGAGGATCTCACCGAGCAAGAGTCGGCCGAGGGGCCGCCCAGCTCGGAGCAGACGAGCGCCGACGTGTACCTCAAGTGCGTCCTCGGCATGTGACGAAGGTCGCTGCGGGGTCTTCTGATCAGCCGGCTGAGGCGCGGACGCCCGCTGCAGCCCCCACTTATGCACCTCCTCCTCGTCCTCGTCATCCTCCCAGTCATCCGTACAGTGGGGTGAGAAGTGGGCTGCGCTGCGGCGATGAGGCACGGGGTTCTGCGATGGCAGGGGACACGGGGAAAACATTCTGACCTCTTGCCAGCACGTTTGTCAGAGGAAGAGGGAGGTTGATGCTGCTGCTGCTGCTGCTGCTGCTGCTGCTGCTGCTGATGATGATGATGATGATGATGATGATGATGATGATGATGATGATGATGATGATGATGATGGTGTTGATACTGATGCTGATGCTGATGCTGATGCTGATGCTGATATTCATGATGATGATGCTCATGATGATGATGATGCTGTTGCTGCTGCTGCTGATGATGATGACGATGATGAGGAGGACGTGGAGGAGGAGGATGATGATGATGATGATGATGATGATGATGATGATGGTGAGCAGGAGGAGGAGGAGGAGGAGGAGGAGGAGGAGGAGGAGGAGGAGGAGGAGGAGGAGGATGAGGAGGAGGAGGAGGAGGAGGAGCAGGAGGGGGAGGAGGAGGAAGAAGAGGAGGAGGAGTTTTGAGGAGGTGGTTGAGGACAGCTGCCGTTACCCTCATACCCAGGCCCCAGCGGGCACCGGTACTTCCCATTCAACTGAGAGTCATTGAGTCCTCGTTTCCAGCTGCACGCCGCGCGCACTTCCTGCTCACCTCACCTTGCCGTCTCTCCCTCCTCTTCTCGCCTCTTCGCCCCCCCCATGCCATCCTTCAATTCTTCCGTGACCAATCGACAGTTCCAGCTACAGGTCCAGGGGGTGCGTCCGTCAGAGTGAGGGGGCTGAGCCGAACGGTCATTCACTGTCCCTGGTGCCTTGCGCACTGTGGTCTTTTTCGCGATCGGATATTGGGAGGGGCAGTCGCTTTGTGGATGTCTCTCCGAGCGCTGTTTGTTGTTTGTTGGTTTGTTTTGTCGTCCGTCCCACCCGCGACCCGCCCCGCGACCCACGGACCGCGACTCGCACCCCCGCTAACCCACCCCGACCCACCCGCGACCCCCGCCCGCGACCTCACCCCGACCCACCCCGGCGATTCCACCCGCGACCCCACCCGCGACCCACCCGCGCCCCCACCCCCGCGACCCCGCGACCCGCCCGCGACCAACCCCGAGACCCCCCTGGCGACCCACCCGCGACCCACCAACGACCCACCCGCGACCCACCCGCGACCCACCCCGCGACCCATCCCGCGACCCACCCGCGCGACCCCACCCGCGACCACCCCCGCGACCCAACCCGCGACCCACCCCGCGACCCACCCCGCGGACCCACCCCGCGACCCACCCCGCGTACCCGACCCTCCCCCAGAGACCCCCCCAGCGACCACACACCGCGACCCACTCGCGACCCACCCCGCGACCCACCCGCGACCCACCCCGCGAAACCCACCCGCGACCCACCCGCGAACCCACTAACCGCGACCCCCCACCGCGAACCCACCCCCTAACCCCCCCGCGACCCACAACCGCGACCCACCCCCACCCGCGACCCACGCCGCGACCCACCCGCGACTCTGCACCCAAGACCCACGCCGCGAACCCACACGCGACCCATCGACCCTCCACCCGCGAACCCACGCGACCCACCCGCGACCCACCCCTCGACCCACCCGCGACCCACCCGCGACCCACCCGCGACCCACCCGCGACCCACCCCGCGACCCACCCCGCGACCCACCCCGCGACCCACCCCGCGACCCACCACGCGACCCACCCGCGACCCACCCGCGACCCACACCGCGACCCACCCGCGGCCCACCCGCGAACCGAAACCGAGACCCCCCAGCCGAACCCACACCGCGACACCGCGCGACGCCCCACCCCGCGACCCTAACCCGCGACCCCACCCCCCTCGACCCACCCGCGCCACCGCGACCCACCTGCGACCCACCCGCGACCCACCCGCGACCCACCGCGACCCACCCGCGATCCACCCGCGACCCACCCCGCGACCCACCCAAAACTTTCGGCGCCTGCGGCGGGCTTCTTTTGCATTCGTTCCAGGTGGAGAACCTGCGACCCAGCCGCGACCCAAACCGCGTTCAGTGTACAAGTCAATTTTTTCGGCGCCTGCGGCGGGCTGTGTTTGAATTCCTTCCAGGTGGAGGTGGAGAGCCCGCGACCCACCCGCGACCTAAACTACGTTCACTGAACAAACCAAAACTTCGGAGTTTGCGGCTGGTTTCTTTTGCATCGGCGACCCCCCCGCGACCCACCCGCGACCCACCCCGCGACCCACCCGCGACCCACCCCGCGACCCACCCGCGACCCACCCGCGACCCACCCCGAGACCCCCCAGCCGACCCACCCGCGACCCACCCGCGACCCAGCCCGCGACCCACCCAAAAATTTCGGCGCCTGCGGCGGCTTCTTTTGCATTCGTTCCAGGTGGAGAACCTGCGACCCAGCCGCGACCCAAACCGCGTTCAGTGTACAAGTCAATTTTTTCGGCGCGCGGCGCCTGCGGCGGGCTGTGTTTGAATTCCTTCCAGGTGGAGGTGCACAGCCAGTGACCCACCCGCGACCTAAACTACGTTCACTGAACAAACCAAAACTACGCCCGCGTCGCCCGCGCCCGCCCCCTCACTCTTATCCGCAATGGCGGGGTGCTACTTATATTTATGTTGTAGCATTCGTGCCTCAGAAGGGTGCCCCATCTACGGCCGCCAGTGGGTGCTCCCGCATTCTGGTCCTGTGCTGTCCTGGTGCACCCCTCACACGTTTCGTACCCCTCACTCTATTTGCAAGGGGGCTCAACGTCGGTGGCCCCAGTGGGTGTGTCCGCGCAGTTGCCAGGGACCGTTCTGGTGCACCCATCACACATTTCGTGCACCAGAGGGGTCCCAACCTTCAGCCCTAGCGAGTGCGCCCGCATTGCTTGCCAAAGAAGGAGCCCCCATGAAGGCCCCAGTGGGTGCGCCCGCATACTCAACTGGTCCCGTGCTGCTCGGGCGCACATCTTATCCTTATGTAGCAGCGCCCTCCTCACATTCTCATTCTCCGCCTGAGTCCGTTGTGGTCCGAGACGACGCAGCTTACCAAGACGCCAAAGACAGATTCTTGTCTTGCCAAATTCACCGCTTTTCTTTGCTTTTACAAAGAGACCTACATTCGCAGCCATGCCGATTTCCAAGGAGATTCTGATGCATGGCGTCGCGGTGGCCCTGGTCACCGCCCACCTGCTCGGGGGATCCAGCCCATGGGTCTCCAAGTCCACCGCGGTCACGGTTGCCATCGTCCAGAGCGTCAACGCGCTCGGGGCCCTGGCGGCTCGCCCGTACCAGCAGCGCGTGGAGGCGCAGCGGCGGCGGAAGGCTCGCCCCGATGACGAGCTGGCGGCCAGCCTTGTCGCCACCGAGAGCTGGCTCACAGTCGCCGCCCGCTGCCGGCCCAGCGCGCGCGGAGTGGCCGCGCTCCAGTTCGCTGGCGGCGGCTGCGTGATCTTCGCCCTCGCCCGTGGCCTGAAGCTCAGCGGCGCGCTGACCAAGCCGCAGCACGCCGTGCTGCCAGCACTCGTCCTGGCGCTCGGGGCACGCCTGCTCCTGAGGGCCCTGGCAGGAGGTCGCAAGCCCGAGCAGGAGAGCGCGGGCGAGCTCGAGCCAGAGCACGCCGACGACGAGGACGAGTGCTCCGACCCCGCCGAGGATCCGTACCGCCCGTCCTTCTGGGAGGATCTCACCGAGGAAGAGTCGACCGAGGGGCCGCCCAGCTCGGAGCAGACGAGCGCCGACGTGTACCTCAAGTGCGTCCTCGGCATGTGACGAAGGTCGCTGCGGGGTCTTCTGATCAGCCGGCTGAGGCGCGGACGCCCGCTGCAGCCCCCACTCATGCACCTCCTCCTCGTCCTCGTCATCCTCCCAGTAATCCGTACAGTGGGGTGAGAAGTGGGCTGCGCTGCGGCGATGAGGCACGGGGTTCTGCGGCAATGAGGCGAGGAGGATGATGATGATGATGATGATGATGATGATGATGAGGAGGAGGAGGAGGAGGAGGAGGAGGGGGAGGAGGAGACTTGAGCAGGTGGGTGAGGGTACCTGCCGTTACCCTCATACCCAGTCCTCGGTGGGCACCGGTACTTCCCAATCGACTGAGAGTCATTTCATTAAGTCCTCGTTTCCAGCTGCATGCCACGTGCACTTCCTGCTCACCTCACTTGCCGTGTCTCCCATCTCTTCTCGCCTCTTCGCTACCTGTCTGTCATCCTTCACAAGTGTCCCGTGCCCCATGGACAGTTCCATCTTCAGGTCCAGTGTGTGCGTCCGTATCTTTGTCTTGTCGAATACTTGTGCCCCACACGTTTCGTGCCCCAGAAGGGACTCCATCTACGGCCCCCAGTGGGTGCGCCGATTTATGGTCTTTGCCTTCTGGTGCGCCACTACACGTGAGTGCCCCTCACTAAATTAGTAGGTGGGCTCAACGGCGGCGACACAGTGGGGGCCTTCGCATTTGCTCCCGACATGTCCTGGTGGACCCTGGCAAACGTTTCGAGCACCATGAGGGGGCCCTTACTGCGCCCTAGGGGGCGGCGCCCCGCATTTTTTGCCAAAGGGAGGCCCCCATGAAGCCCCTGTGGGTGCGCTCGCACACGGCTCGAACCGTTCTGTCGCGCCCTCAAGCCTAGGGTTGTTAATGGCCTGACCTGCAGCCCGGCCCCAGTGGCCACGCCCGGCATACTGAGGGTCTGTGCTGCTTGTCGCA